GCATATTGAAGGACTAAATACTCAGTCACAATTGTGTAAAGCAGAAAACATTCGATGTAGGAGATCAATGTCTAAGGCATCCAAAGCACATTTGAAGCAGACATATACCTGCATACTATGGGCGGAACATGCCCGGCTGGGCAAGGCCTTCTCACGAGCTCCCATGTTTCGATTTCAGAAAGACCCAAGGACTAGGGATTCACCCTTCTGTGCAATATTCCTCTATTTGGCTTCAACTAAGGGTCAACATTCTGCAATTTTGGAACTATCGTGGAAATAAATGAAGAAAAAGAAATTTGAGTTATTTGAAAGTACTGGAACTGCTTGAAAAATGTTTGGGTAGAGAGTAGCCTCGATGTTCTGTTTAGGGATTTGTGGATGTAGGGTTTAAAGTGATATGGCTTTCTTCAAATCCAAAACTTTGCAATTCTCTATCTTGCTTAGGATCAATTTTCAGACCAGTCTCATTTTTTTAATTGTCCTTCTGAAAAATGCAGGCTTCATGGAAGGTACTGGTTTTGATCGTCATGAAAAATGCAGAACTTGACTTAAAAAGCCACAAACTTCCACATACTGCTCTTCCCAGGTTTCCATCCGGGCAAGCATCGGCAAAGTGGACATAGACAGCCAAGGACGAAGCCATATGCTATTTATAAATGGTTCATGCAGCAAAATGGACAGCGCTAATCCGAAAGTTCGCAACATGGTTCAAAAGCTGCCCGAAGACAGAAGAAAAGAGATCAGAGATTTTTAAGGTGGAGGATCGAGCACCTTCCCAAGAGGCGGAGCACGTGAGAAAATGAAAAAAATTAATCAAGGAAATAACAAAAATTGACGGCTCAACGTTGGGGCAAATGGTGCAAAAATTTACAGAGTACGAATGAGCGAAAGCAGACAAGACACGCCCACACTGGGCAGGGCATACGGCAAAATGTGGGAAGAAAGACGCAACACTTTTCCCATTTTTGAATTTAATTTTATCTTTTTGGTTTACAACTCCTGACCGGTCTATATCTACCATGAGTGTCCACCACTTGTCTCCAACGCTCAGAAAATTTCTTGATGCTCCTTCGCCAAAACCCAGCGGAGTGCGGGTCGAGAAAGGAGGCGACCTCACTTTCGAAATTGAAGTTTCTCGTCTAATTATTTCTTCATAATGATGATTGTAGGTATGGAAAGGGGTAACTAATCAGGGCTTGAACAGGGGAATACGCTCCATGAGGTAAGAAATCTCGTTGAACGAAGATTGTCGTTGACGTTGCTATGAATTCGGAATTTTTGCGGTTTTAAGGGAAGTATATACCTCCTCCCCCACTCGACGGTAATTTTTTGGGGTAAAAATTGGTTGGAAAATTGGTCGGGAAGGGGGGTCGTAGGAAACTTTTTCTGAAGGAGGGGGGTCGTAAAAACTTTTCGAAAAGTAGCAACGATAGGACTGACCCTGCCTCGATTCATATCCACCTCGTGGACTTGAAGCCTCGAGAATGCTCTACTCATTTGGTCATAAATGTTAGCTAAAAATGTTTCAGAGAGAAGGAAAATTTGAAAAAGCTTGTACACGACTTTCTTTCCAACCTGATAATTCGGTTCCAGAGCCACTCAGAGGATGTAAGAAAGGACCACGATAAGCAGCGCGTTGGTGTGGGACCGTGACCCCTCAATAGAGTGCAGGGCGCTCTGTAGACAGCGGAGGTTTAAAAAATTCATAATCCGATTTTAAGACTATCTAAGAGGATAAGTACCTCTGCGTGCTTAGTATGCCCAAACTGAACGCAGCCTCGTCCACGATGGGGCGGGAGTGCGCTCAGTTGGGCTGTGCTAACTACAAAAATTCACAACACTTTTTCAAGACATCTTAGACCTACAAAAGTTTGCAGCACTTTTTCAGGACCTCTTTGAGGCCTAAAAAGCGTATAGAGGCTAGCGAGGAAGGAGCGAAGATAAGTCCAGTCCTCAAGGTGGGCTGGACGAGCGAACAAGTGAGTGAGGCGTTCGCCGAGGGGTACGAAATCAAGGCTGGAAATTTGTAGCGTTACATTCACTATCGCAGCAGAAGCGATATCAGTCAAGTAGTGAGCCACCAACTGAGAAAGAGTTAGATATTGCATGAGCTAGGCATTAGCGTGACCTAAACGCAAGGCCCAAGATCGAATTAATGTGGTAATCCCACTCGAAAAAGAAAGTAAGGATGTGAAGTGGATCGCAAGTGTACAACAAAGGAAAAGAAATTCTCAAAACCACAAAAAATACGAATCTCTTTGCTCTGCGTAACGAAGAAGTCAAAAAAACAACAGCGAGATAAGAGATAATGTGGGCTGCGGAGAGGTAGAAGAAGTCGGAGAGAGCATAGCAGGCCAACGTAACGACACAAACAAGATATCGATTGGTGGGCGGGCACGGACTCCTCGGGGCGGAGGAGGATCCGAGTGCTAAACGCCCAGACTTGTTTAGAGGCGCGAAGGTGGCGCAACCTCTGCAGCTGCGCACCTAGCACCTCTATCCACGGGACGAAAATAACAACGAATGTCTCAAGTGGAGCGGCAGTGAAAAAAAAATGAAATGAATCTTCAAAGAACTAGAGAAGCGAAGTTTTCGTTATATTAGCGATTTTGGGCGATGGACAGACTCATGGCCGAGATAGAGCCGTTTTGAAGGACTTGACATCACGCCTCTTAAGTACCCATTGAAAAATTATGAAAATCCCTCATTTAATATCGATCACCTCCTTCAAAACAATTTCAAAAAGGTGAGCAAAATAAAGACACATAAAATACATTGGTATGAAGATAAAGTAAAATACACAGATGTCAAACAAAAAAGTAAACAAAACCAAGAAATAGAACAGAAAATAAGATTACTTACTTTGTACTGCTTACCATGTGGCAAAACGCCATGTAACCAATAGAAAGACTGAAGAAACGAGCATATAAATTAGCAAAACGAGAGTGTATGAAAAATCACGGAATTAAGGTGATAAATTGCTGCACACGCAATATGTGACTTCTAGCACAAATTCATTGTAAGTATCAAGATCACCTATGAAAAAGAAATCCTGACGACCGTTAGATAAAACCAGTCTTAGGAGTCACGGCTGGAAAGAGCTGACCCGATCGCGAACATTTCCACTTATGTTGTCTGGCGTTACCTATACTCCAAGCAATCTAACCACGCATGGCTCAAAACCGTACAGCCCTGAGATCCAGGATAGGTGGCCATTTGGGGGACAAGCCCCATTTCAGTGAACACCGATGGGTTGCTTCGAGCGCACCTCTGGTCGTGATATAAGCCGCACATCACTGCTCAGACCATAGCCTCCTTTCCTATAGGCCTATCTACTCTCTGTGAATAGCCAAATTATCCCCATACCCTGCCCGATTCTAACCTGTCCCTGATCATCGCCAATTAGTGTGGCTACTCAGGCGGATAGGTATTTGGTTTGGATGCTACCGCAGTGTTGGGAAAGAAAAACTTGACCGGTGAGTAAGGACACCTTGGTTGCACGATCAGGACAATTTCGTCCACTCTAGAACACATAGTAAAATAAGAGTTGTCAAAAAAATCAGCTTAAGCCCCTGCGCATGGCTCACATGTAAGCTTTTAAAAACAAGAGCATTCCTCTCAAATTAATACATTGACGACAGCGTGATGCGCATGCGCTTCACACCTTCGCAAGGATGGGACTCGTTTTGATCGATTTGTTCGACATTTGTGATGATTCTATTTGTATGCATCATCGAAAACCTAGAGCAGCATATCAACAAAAAGCAAAAAATATATTGGAAGCACCACAGTGACTCTGCAAAAATAGCAAAAAAATACGTCGAGATAACGCAAAAGAGGCTCACGCCAAATGTTGGGTTAAAGCAGCCCTCATTTTGAGCGCAAGGATAAATTTCTAGGAGCTATTATCCTTTTAGCTAGATCGCTTGTGCTGTGTAAATCCTTATCGCAATTCTGCAGGCAGAAAATTCAGTTCAAAATAAAAGGAGCAGAAGCGAATGCCAATGCAACGGTATAAGAAGTTGGCCTGCTTCAATCACTCGCAAAACATCCGTTACAAGTATGAATTTTTTTATTGGAGAGCTTTCTAAGAAAAATTACCTACTTACGTAACATTCGCCAAAATACTTGCAATCAGCAGTATTTATGCATATTGATTGAGCAGCTCAATGGAGCGGTGAATGGTATGGAGCCCTGATTTGATGGCTACAGAAAGTAAGAGAGACAACCTTTTTTGCTGACAAAAGTCAATTCAACGACCGTTTTCCGAGTACTTTGTTCAAAGATGAATGGTCATGGCGAGATCGTTTTAAGGGGACTCAGAAACCTGCAAGGAAGGAGCGGTCATGGGACTTCAAGCCATAAGAACTAGAGACAACCGTCCAATACCGGTTTGAGGCCCCTTTTACAATGAATCAACCCCTACCTAGTTCGGCGTTTCCACCAAAATCGATGCTGATGTTAGAGGAACGCCACCAGCGTTCAACCATCGCTTAAAATGATTTAATTTGTGAAAAATTGATGACTAACGTCAGATTCAGCGATGGAGGCCCGAACATTGGCACACTTGCCGGCGCCACATCCAGAAGCTCCTCATACTCGTTAGCGTACACATCTGTTGGATATCGTAGTCCTTTGGCCGCCGGAAAACTGACACTTATAGTCTACTGACGAGAATTAATGCAACAGTAAATCCGCAATCTAGAACACAACATACCTGAGAATACCATTTTCCGAGGAAAAATTGCAACGGCTCGAGTGCTGGGGCAAGAGGTATCTCCGGGTCAACTGAACAGAAATTAACGCTGTGAAATTGGCCAGACCTCATCCAAGTCTTAAATTCATCTTCATCTCATATTCGATTCCATAAAAGGTAACCCTGGATCGGAAACGTACCATGTCCAGGATTGGGCTTGCATAAATTACATGCAAGTGCGCAGTTTACATCGAAGAAATTCGTTTGTGTTAATACTGCCTGGCATTTATCTTCAGCTGCCCATCGTTCACAACTTTTGTATATGTTCCGACACTTTCCTAAAAGAACACTTATAGGATGAGAACAGCAAAAATCGGGGTCAGAGCGTAGGTCGTAAGAACAGATAGCGACTTTTCGCACAGGCAAACGTTTTCGCTGCGGGAACCCCGGGTCCACTCATGATCAGGGACATGGGGTTCTCGCAGCGAAAACCTTGAAGTCGCTTCCTGTCCTAGCGACCCACACCCGTAACAGGTAACATAAAAAATATGAGGATATGAAAGTCGGTTAGATGGTAGTCGGGGAGTTTTATGGTCACTTAAAACGCATGCTTGAATATAAAATAAGCTATTGAAAGACCGATGAACTGATTGAGCGTCAGCGTCAATGAAAAACCTGACTAGGGCAAGTTCTATTGTTGTTCGTTTCAGCGAGATCTCAAGAAACCCTGTTTTGCGGACTCGTTGCATCGCAATCGTTGGCGATGCAAAACTATGGAACATGATATTCGGTTGTGACGCGCGGCGGGGAGAACCCATAAATCTGATCTTGGTGATGGTTCTAAAACTTGATTCATGATTACGGGGTTGAGCGCCGCAGCAATCACCACCATTCAATGGTCCAGCTTTGAACATCAGATTTTTGACAAACAAAAAAAAAGACTGATTCCTATCCCCCGTACACGGAACTTATCTGGTAAGCCTACACTGTTCTCGAGCAAAATGTGTCGTGAAAAAATCGATAAAGCAAATCAGAGAGAAGAAAAACGAAACTATACGAGAAAATACCAACTGTGACAAAATCTTCCCATCCATCCTTGTGTGCATTGGCAGCTCAGCTTTCCAGGTATACATCTACCATCGTTTTGACATGGATTGACTCGACATGTTTCAGATGTAAACTGTTTGTAAACAAGCTGTTGTGTCTTCTGAAGCCCTAAAAAATAGAAAATATCGGTATATCAATTGCTAAGTGATGTAAGCTTTTCCCCAGAAGGAGGAACATTTTGACTTATATGAACTCATTTTCCTTCATTTTAGCGACAAAAAAAGGGTTGTAAGAATTAATGAAAAACATGAAAACAGTATGAGAACCTGGTTGAACTAGAGTAGTAAGTAGTAGAATCGTAACAGAGTACATAGCTGTACGTAGAGAGGAAGAGCGCGCGCGACGAACCGGCTGTTTTGTGCGAACGAGGGGCTTCGCAACGGCTGGATCGCCACCCAACCGCCCTCCAAACTTTTCCCGCCCCTGTCGGAGATTGGCGTTTTTGTATTCGACCTCATTTTGTTGCTTACCATCGCTTGCTATTACTGTTGTACCTACAGCCATACCGTTCTCAACAGTCCTGTCCACCTCGCCTGTCCGAAAGCGTGTGCGTGCAAACGGGTGCGGCAGCAGGGTTGAGAAGACTGTCAAATAAACCCAGGGCACGTTCTGTGTAAGGGTTTCACTCTTTTTTCGTGTATCTCACCAAATGAACATATGATGGACTGGCATCCCAGCTACGATGTCTGGTCAAGAGAAACGCGTTAGTGAACCCATGTAACTCTGAAACAAGTGCTCAGTAGCAGCAGTCATGATTAACTTTAAGGTCTCATCCAGTAAGGAGGGGCATAGCGATCTAGAGAATTTCATACCATGGAAAGCACATTATTTTATTGTAGACGTTCAGGACTAAGCCCTT